AAAGTATGGGGGGGGGGAGAGCGAGACGGTGTAGGGGGTGGGTGGGGGGGGGAGAGCGAGAGGGTATGGGGGGGAGAGGGAGACGGTGTGGGGGGTGGGTGGGGGAGAGCGAGAGGGTATGGGGGGGGAGAGGGAGACGGTGTGGGGGGTGGGGGGGGGAGAGGGAGACGGTGTAGGGGGTGGGGGGGAGAGCGAGAGGGTATGGGGTGGGAGAGGGAGACGGTGTGGGGGGTGGGGGGGGAGAGGGAGACGGTGTAGGGGTGGGGGGAGAGCGAGAGGGTATGGGGGTGGGAGAGGGAGACGGTGGGGGGGGAGAGGGAGACGGTGCGGGGGGTGGGGGGGAGAGGAGACGGTGGGGGGTGGGGGGGGAGAGGGAGACGGTGCAGGGGTGGGGGGGAGAGCGAGAGGTATGGGTGGGAGAGGGAGACGGTGTGGGGGGTGGGGGGGGGAGAGGGAGACGGTGTAGGGGGTGGGGGGGGGAGAGAGAGGGTATGGGGGTGGGGGGAGAGAGAGACGTGGGGGGGGGGGAGAGGGAGAGGGTATGGGGGTGGGGGGGAGAGACGTGGGGGGTGGGGGGGAGAGGGAGACGGTGTAGGGGTGGGGGGGGAGAGAGAGGGTATGGGGGGTGGGGGGGAGAGAGAGACGGTGCGGGGGGTGGGGGGAGAGGGAGACGGTGTAGGGGGTGGGGGGGGAGAGAGAGAGAGGTGTGGGGTGGGGGGGGAGAGGGAGACGGTGTAGGGGGTGGGGGGGGGAGAGAGAGAGGGTATGGGGGGTGGGGGTGAGGGAGACGGTGTGGGGGTGGGGGGGGGGGAGGGGAGACGGTGTAGGGGGTGGGGGGGAGAGAGAGGGTATGGGGGTGAGGGAGACGGTGTGGGGGAGGGGGAGACAGTGCAGGGGGTGGGGGGGGGAGAGGGGGAGGGGCTAAGTTCAGCCCATGATCCTCACAGTCTGAGCTGCTGTTTCTCAGCTGTTGTCACCGTTGCCCCTGAGGCATTGTGGGTGGGTGTGGGTGTGGGAGGGGGGGGGAGGGGCTGTCGGCGCATGCGCCGGGCTCGCAGGTCAGGTCCAACCCGACGGACTTGGCCCCCACTATTCCCCCACCACCTCCCCCTGCGTTGTCTTCGTCCGCAAACCTCGGTGTACCCTCTGTGTATCTCCCCCCGGCCCGGGACCCCCTGTCCCCCCCTGTCCCCCCCCCCCCCCCCGGGGGCTGTCGCTGTGTTGTTGTCTGTCATTGTGTTTTGTAGCTTTTTATTCGACTTCACTTTTATTTTTACTTTTAATTCAGTTAATAATTACATTTGCTTTTAATGTTTGTGCTCTGCATTTTCTTTGGAGACCCCCACCAACCCCCCCCCATCCCCCCCCTCCCCACCCCCACCAACCCCCCCCATCCCCCCCCCTGGATTTAAAATCCAGTTTAAAAAGTGGCGTCGTTTCGACGTGAAATTCTCCTCGTCTTCAGCGGAGATTTCAACGGAGTTCAGCTGAACAGTTTGGGATATTTTTGGGTGGGTGGAGCGGTGCGGTGCGGTGGGGGGGGGGCGGGGAAGGGGTTCCGCGTTAAATAGACTATCGGAATTCCTTTACACCCAGACGACGACTGTCGGGCGACAGAGAGCGTAATCGTCTGCAAGTTCGGTGGTTCCTGGTGCGAGCTTTGCTTTCCATTGATTGTGAAGTTTTCGTGTGTTTGTTTGTGGCCGAGAGAGAGAGAGAGAGAGAGAGGATTTTTCAATGTTGTGGTTTCGGTTTCGTCCTTCGGATTGCGATCATTCTCTGTCGCGACGGATGAGTGTTATTTTTGAATGTTTCTGGAGGCATCGGAGTGGAGGGCGGCGGCGGAGGAGGAGGAGGAGGAGGAGGGCGGAGGAGGAGGAGGAGGGCGGGGGAGTTTGGAGTCTTGTGTTTCCTTCATTTTTTTTTTGTTCTGCTTTGAATTTTGCCTGATTTCCCCGACTGTTCAGCGCCGTCGGGGACGTCCTCCCGACCCGAGAGGCGCTTCACAGATGTCATTTTGTTGTCTTTCTTGAATCGTGAAAACAAGTTGTCGCTTGCCAAATTTATGATGAATTTTTGAAGCTTCGGGTGTGCTTTCTTGGGTTTGTCAACCTTAGTTAGATTGCCGGCTTGCGACGCAGTTATTTTTCCCTTCTTTTTGTCCCTTCTTTTCGTCTCCTCCTTGTTATTTTAACTTGTCACGGGATGCTGCGGTTCCATTAGCTTGTGACGTGAGCAAGATTGGATGATGATAATAATAATAATAATAATAATAATAATAATCCTTGCGTTTGATGTAGCGCCTTATCACGTCGTTGAGACGTCTCGAAGCCCTTCGTAAAATATATTGTAAAATAATAATAATAATCCTCGCATTTGCTATAGGGCTTTTCACGTCGGGAGGACGTCCCAAAGCGCTTCACAGAACACACTGTAAAGTGAATTGACTGTATATTTTGTGGGTGAAACGCGGCGGCCAATCCCCCACAACTTCAGCCACCCTCCCTACTCCCTACCTTCCCCTCCCTCCACCGGCCCTGATCCCAGCCCCAGATCGGGACTGGATCCCTGATTGTCCAGCGCCTTGGGACGTCCCCTCGACGTGAGAGGCGTAATATAATTTCTTGCTGTCGTTGGATTGAACAGCAGATAAATAAATAAACTATGAAGTACGCGGTGCAGTAGGATACGTGGCATTGCGTGCGACCGCACGGTAGGTTTGGAAAGGATGGCAATTCTTCACGCCTGTAGTTCTGCCTTCATCCCGGATCTGCGTAAATTGACCAACTTGTAACTGAGGCCACGGATTCTTCAGTAAGATGTCTTTGTGCTGCAGCACTCTGCTGCCCACCAGGGGAGTGTCGCTGTGCACCGGCTTCAAAGTCTCCACGTGGAAAATTCCTGTTGCAGCCCCAACGCATTCTTGCACCTGAGGGAAAGAGCAAAACGTGGACAGTGCTCCTGTGAAACTGCCGCTCACCATTAGAACCAATAATAACCCTTGGATTTGATACAGGCGCCTTATCATGTCTTCGAGAGGTCTCAAAGTGCTTCACAGGATACACTGTACAAAGTGGAGTGACTGTGTATTTTGTGGGCGAAAGGCAGCAGCCAATTGTGCACAGCAGCGTCCCCACAAACAGTCGTTGATTGATTGATTGATTGGTTGATTGATTGATTTCCTTGCCTATGATGGCTGATAGGAAATACTTTGATGGGAAATATTTCTAGAATAACGCAAATAATTTCTAGTACGCTTGTCTTAAGTTATTAGGATGCGAGAGGCATTGCCGGAGAGCCCATTTAACAGGGAATTAGATAAACTGAGGAACTCAACGATTTGCAAGTGGGATGAACGTCTCGAAGACAGTGGGAAGAAAGGAAGGTGGGGGGGCACTTTGCTATCACGATGAGGACCAGCAAGCAGTGAGGGGAGGAAGGGAGTTCATGGTTGTTGGTCAAAGAGAGAGAGGTTTTTTGAACGCTTTCTCAAAGCAGGGAGAGAAGCATAGCAAAAAAGGATTTTTTGATAATATTCCACGCATTTGATATAGAGCCGTATCACGTTGTTGCGACATCTCAAAGCGCTTCACAGGATAGACTAACGTGGACTGACTGTGTACTTTGGGACGTCCGCCCGACGTGAAAGGCGCAATACAAATTGGGCTTTCAGCTAATCTCCGGAGCTCCATCCTCAGGACTCCATCCCCCAGACAAGCCCCCTCCCTCCCGAGCCACTTTCAAGAACGGTCTCAAGACTTTCCTCTTTGGTTGTGCATTCGATCATCTTTCGCTTCCCCTACCCCCCGCCCCCCGCCCCCCCACCCCAGCTCGGGAGCCAAGCAGAGACTGTCAAGCTCTTTAGGATGTCCTCCCAGTGTGAAAGATGCTGCATCAATGTAAATTTGCATTACGTATGTGTGATTGCTCAAATACTTCCTGATTTTATTCATGATTGTTAAGCGAACGTATTTAAGTGCTCCAGCAGATTAATCAGATGTTGCGTTGGGGAGTTTGGGGATTGGTAAAATGCCCTGAAAGTTGATTTCACCTTTTAGCTTTCCTTTTAACAATATTACTGTGATGTATGTATCTGTTGTGTGAGAGGATGTCTTTCTTTGAACATTGAGTGCTGGTTACATCACCGAAAGCATTTTCAGGCTCAGTGTGATGGAGCCGGGTTAAAGCCGGGCTCCAAACAGACTTCCCCGAGATACATAAACCACTTTATCATTGTCTGGCCCTTGGCACAAAATTCATTTGTATAGTTCCCCGTACGTACGAGGGAAAAAAATGTGTTCTAAGCAAAGTCTCCCAACTTAATTGTTATGTGGCATTGAAATAATTATGTTTGTGTTCAAACTGAGGTGAAATCCAGTGATGGTTCCGGGTGCTTCATTTGTTGCTTCCACAGGGGAAGGGAGAGGTAGAGGAGAGGCAATGAGTAGGTGTGGGAGGTGTGTGGAATATAAACACCAGTTGGGTCATCCTGTATCATTGTATGTAATTCTAAGAATCAGTAAAACCACCTTTCACGTAGGATGAACATCTTGAAGCAACTTCACTCTTTGTGGGGACGCTGCTGTGTGCAATTGGCTGCCACGTTTCGCCCACAAAATACACAGGTCAATTCATTCACAGTATATTCTGTGAAGCGCTCTGAGACATTGATAAGGTGCGATATCAAATGCAAGGATTATTATTATTGTCAGAGGGACGATGGGAATGACCGAGCGGGGAGGAGGAAAGGAGAGCGGAGAAAAGAGCACACGATGTGAGAGCCAGATGAGCCTTGTGAGGGTAGATAGCCATAGAAATGTATGGTACATTGCTAAAGCCACCCCCTCAAGAGCAATCTTTCAGTCCCATTCACCCGCCTTCCCCACACCCCTGTAGCTGACTCTCTTTAATCAGTTCCCAATTGAAGGCCAATATGGATTCTTCCTCAACCACCACTGCTGGCAGAGCATTCCATATCCGAACTGCACTGTGCGTGGAAACTTTTTTTTCCCTCCTGACCTCCCCGGTTTGCTTGTTTACTGACTATCTTAAATTGATGCCCTCTCTGGTTACTGACTCACCAATGGCCAGTGGAAAGTAGACGAGCGGCGGTTTGGATAATTTGGAACAACCTAAATCAAAACAATGTGGGCATCCTGTTTCGTTATGTGGGTCTGGCCTACAGTATAACTTGGTCATCATAGGAGGAGCCGTTTCGATAAAATAATGCCTTGTTGTGCAACTGAGCAGCTTGTGATGCCTTTCTGACGTGAAGGGCGCTATACAAGTGTAATTTGTTGTTGTTGTTGTTGTGCGTATGGATCCATCTTCATTGCTTACAGGAGTGTCCTGACTCGTGGAATAGTAACTCAGCTCTTCCAACATAGTGAGCGGTGTAGATAAGTTAAACATTTTTGTTTAGCTACTGGGCAGAACTAGAGGGAGTAGACTTCAAATGGAAGGCCTGAAGATTTCTTTTTCAGTCTCGCAGTCGGAATGGAGCAAACGTGTCCACCAGCACAGTCGCTGACAGCAATTATCTGTGGAGCAGTTTCAGTCCTGTCCTATCTATCGCTAATAATAATTTGGTCACTCAATCCACGACTGTTTGCGGGACACTGGCTGCCGCGTTTCGCCCACAAATATAGGGTCAATTCACTTTACAGTGTATCCTGTGAAGCACTTTGGGACGTCTCGAAGACGTGATAAGGCGCCGTATCAAATGCCAGGATTATTATTATTATTATATCAAATCCAAGGGTTATTAAGTTCCTTACTATCATCCTTGGGGTGCAGCGGTCATTACTATCTGAATCAGCTGTACAGTTCTCCGCTGTATAAATTGCAAAGTACTTCCCAAGCACAAGGGTATTGGGGAGTAGTAGGATTCGATTCCGTGGCTCCCCAATACCCTTGTGCTTGGAAAGTACTTTCCATCAAGCAATGGCCTGTTTCTGTGCAGTTTTATTCCAGTTCACCCCAGTTCTTGCGCAAATAAGCAGATAAGTCGATGGCCTCGAGTGCTTTTGCTTCAGGTCTCGTCCACTGTTGGCTTTGGGTTACCTTTTGCAATGTCCACTGCTCTTTTTTTGACGCACTCGGCCTACTTTTGTATGATATGTGGTGCCGGCAACTGCTTGTTCCCATGTCTGTTGCGACAGGCCAGCAGAGGCTCTCGTCCGGAGCAACACAGGAGGAGGCCATTCAGCCCCTCGAGCCTGTTCTGCCATTCTAACAGCTCATGGCTGATTTGGACGTCAACTCCAATTTGCGTCAGATTAGACGCCAAACTTTAATGTGTGTTCAGCGTCTCGCCTTCACTCTCTGAACCAGATTCCTAGTTCCAGTTCTGACGAAAGGTCTTGGACCTGAAACGTTGACTCGCTTTCCTTTCTCCCTAGATGCTGCCTGACCTGACCTGCTGAGTGTTTTTCCCAGCGACATCTGCTTTTTGTTTCAGATTTCCAGCACCTGCAGTTATTCAGCGTTTTGTTCGCAGTTCCTCTTGGTG